GAGGGTAATAAAAATGGTCATAAATAATTTATGTTTGATTATTTTTATATAAACCTGACTAGTAATCTAAAAAGTATTTTAGTATTTTTAACATATTCTAAATGGTACAAAAACTTTACTGACAAATGTAATTGTTTTATACTGATTTTAAAATTTTAGTACATTATTATAATCAAAAAAGGTATGCTATCTCTATTATAATATGAAGTATAAGTTTATTATTTAAGTAAAATATGTATATAAGGGTATTTGTTTATTATGTTTTTAATTACAAATTTTAATCTTCAATTTTAAATTTTAAATCGATACGTTACTTTTATGTAATATTATTTAATACAATTATGAAAATATTATAAATAATTTAGTATATAAATATTACTACCATACCAAAAACCAAGACTAAATATTTTTTAAATACATTATTTCAAGATTTTTGTTGTTTGTACCTAATATTGTTTACTGATAGAAATAATATTGATATTATCGATTCAATATGAAAAAAACATTAAGAAAGGAATTCTAACCTTATGCTAAATGGTATTTTATATTCTATGAGATTGAATTTTTACCAAAAAATATCATAATCATTTTTACATAAACGTTTACCAAGGTATACTATTGATATTTCTGTTTTACCATAGACAGTTGATACCGAAGGATATAGTTTAGTATTAGGTAAATTTTTAAAAGCTATACCTAAAAATTCATTACATTTTTTAAAGTACAAAATACCATTTTCAGAATCCAGTATTAATATTAATTTTTCACCTATTTGATACTTAGGAGTGTTGCTTAACAATGGGTAGCTTCCATGCGATACTCCATTATGCAACAAAATATTATCAATTAAATTCCAACCCCAACTATGCTCGTTAATACCCAACAGAGGTAAGTAACCGCTACAGTGCACTGGCGCCTCTTTAGTTGACACGCCAACCATTGCAACTGAACCTATAAACAAAATAATTGATATTTTTAATAACTTCTTATTTAGTGTTACATAAATTGAATGTATTTTTACCTAATGGCCCAGTCCATGTAATTTCCCATGCATGTTTACCATTGCTATAACCAATTTTAGTTCGTGCCATATCTGTACTATGGGGAACTTGATTACGATACAATGTAAAACCATTGTGTTTAACGACAATATTCATGGAACAATCATCTGGATTCCACGAATGATAAAAGGCTCGTAACTTATCTTTATAGTTGTTGAGTTGCGATAAAAGTTTAGACTTCAGTAGCTCTTTGGGTACTTTACGGCGACACAGCAATTTCCATGGCTCTGATCTACCATCAATAATTACACGATGCCAATTTTGACAGACCAACATGCAACTTAAAAAGTCTGGCAGCTCCAAGTTTGAAAATATTATATCCAACACTAAGTCAGGTAAGTATTGTGGTTCGAGACAAACATCCATCATTAGTTATTTTGTATGTTCAATTGTTGAGTCTGTAAATATCGCTGCATTTTATTCCAATAAAACCACTATTCAGTGAGATTAAATTATAAATAAATATATACCTATTTTAAATTTTTAATGTTAATGTAGAGCGCATTGTTCTGTATGATAAAATAAATTTATGTATATATGTTATTTGGTGTTCGTAAATCGTATTTGTTCAAAACAAATTGTAAAATGAAATATTAATTAGCAAATACTTATTACAAATTTAAAATTTGACACTGTTATCATAATTCATGAACATTTTTTTGTTATTATCATTATTAATTATCTATTCTGTGGTATCATGGAACATTTATGTATATCATAGTTTATTGTCCGGTAGTACAAATGGTCAATAAAAATAGTTCTGAGTTCAACAAGATGTGTTATCGATTAAATAAACATCTTTATTGAATCCACAAAGTAGTGTTCAATTGCACAAATAATTTCATTAAATGCCATGGTTTGTTTGTTAACCATGGTTATGTGGTCATTGATAACAAAATAATTTACAAAAAAATGACTATAGTTATTTGATATAATCATTAAAATTATCAATTTGAAATTTTGATCGACGTTCGTTATATTTTTATAAATAACTTTAATATTGTGAAATTAATGTGAATATTATCTACTGAGTACTGACTACTACTATTAAAGTACTAATTATTAGTCAACCATGGCCACAAAGAGAAGTAGAAATGTTACTGACGCTGAAAGAAATATTTTATTAAAACTTATACAGCCTCACATGTCAATTATACAGAATACAAAGATGTGTATAATTACAAATGATTTAGGTATTGAAATAAAACAATTTTAAGTACATAAAAAATGTATATTTAAATGTTAAAGACTGATGGTACTTCAAATAAAATTTAATTAATGGGAATATATAAAACACCAGTATAATGTGTTACAGTCAACTGGAATCAGAACAACCACACAATTAAAAGCAATATTTGACACTATGAAACGAAAAACAAGAAAAAAGATAAAAGCAGTGACAGAGTAAGCACAATTGTATAAGTAGAAATCAAATCACAACTATTATTTTTTAATGATTACCAATTCCTAATTTGTCTTAAGGATGATCTATTAATAATATATTGTGTTATTATTTAAGATAAATGCTTATATACACCAACCAAATAGTACTATAACAGAGAAGAAAAATGAATTTTTACTTAATCTAATTTTAACAAATAAACCTTTCATAGTATGTTTTAATACACCTAATTGATTTTTTAAAAATTTAATTCTAAAATAATTTATATTGCTTTAATAATCTAAATTGTTAATTACAAGATTCAAGTTTTGATAATCAACATGAAGTATGGAAAACAATTGCTGAATCGTATAATCAGTTACAAACAAGTGGTATAAAAACCATTGAGGAACTAAAAAAATGTAATAAGACTTTTCAGAAATCAGCAAGTATTGTTATAAATAAAGAAAAGGTTTATATATAAAAGTATATAATAGTCACTGAGAGATTTTTCTCCCACAAAAATCTGGTTAATTAATTGTTAATTTAATCATTTAATTTTTCTAGCCTCAGAGTCAGACCTACAAGACAGGAGGTGGAAAATTAGAGCATCAATCATCTTCAATGTGTATTAAGATTATAGGTATGATGGGGAATAGATTAGAATCTTTGGAAAGTTCCTATGATTTTGATGGAGATTTTCCAGGTATATTGTCAATAAGTTGAGAGAAATTACCTGTTATCACCAAAAACCAAATTTGTGGAAGTGGTAGTCAAATATTTAAATTATTTTATTGTTTAAAAATAAAGATTTAATTAAGTTAGTTTTAATTGTTAATTGTCCTTCCTAGATTATACAGTGGAGCTTGATGAGATGGTTGATGCATAAGCCGTTCCTACCTCAACATCTTGTTGTAATGTACTTATGAAAGACAATATAGAATGGTTCTTCAATAGCAATGATTCTAGTGCTAAAGAATCTGCAATGAACATACAAAGTATTCATGAAAATTCTGACCAACTTAATAAAAAGTATAATGATTTTCAAACAAAAAATAAATAAATTACTGCTACGTCATCTAAATTGCATAAAAAGGTTCCTACAAGTTATAACAACAACACATACAACTGCAAATAAAGTGAATGGATAGTCTTGAAAATATATCTAACCAAAGACTGGGATTATATACCACTAAAGAAAAATTTCATGAAAATTATAATGATTTGAAGACAAAAGAGCCAAAATTGAATTAGAAATTGCTGAAATAGAAAGAAATTTGTTGATTGCAAAACTCAAGTTAGATAAAGAACATAATATTTCTCAACAGAAACGAGACAAACTTAAAGAGGAAATATTAGAACACAAACTTAAACAAAAAAAGTAGAGACTGTAAATTGTTTTAAATTCTATGGACAATTTTACAAATCTATTTAATGTTTAAATATTATATACATTTTAACCTATTTTGTTATTATAAGTAAGGACACTTATATAATTATGATTATAAATATCAAATAAAATATATTATTATACTGTTATACAATTAATTTTTTATAATAGCCTGGCCAGTAAAATGCTTAACTATGCATAATTATTTTTTGTTGAACCTTCCAATATGCTTTTATTCAAATTGATTCTTAGAACAGTGTTTAGGTAGGTACAAATCAAAAGTATATTTTATATTTAAAGAGTTTTCAAGTTTTCACTGTATATACAAATCTTACATTTACTAGGTAAAATGTGTTTAAATTGAGTTATTTCAAACGACATTGCCAACTTGGTTTACTGGTGCAACTGGTATTTCTTCTAAAAGAAGATTTTTATCTTGTTGATAATTTTAAGACATTACATCATGTTGTTTGTGCAGGATGTATAATATATTAATATAGCTGTAGCAACAATAGTGATTAATGCTGTTTTGAGTTGTGTACGTTACCAATGGACAAAACAGGAAATTGTCGTTTAAAGACACCAAATATACGTTCGATAACATTCTGGTTCAAATTTGGGATTTTTAAAAGTACATTTCAAATATTTGTAATTAATAGTTAATAACCAGAATAAATAAATACAAAAATAAGTCAGCAATACTCAATAAATACCTGATATTTTATTTCAAAATTTTTAGTAGGATTCAGTAATGGAATCATTAAATAATTCCTACAAGGATAACATCCATCACCAAGCAGAAAACAACCTTAAAACTCATTATTTTCAAATTGAGCCCGTAATAAACTATTATCAAAAATTGTGAACTATCATGAAGTGATCCTGGCCATCTAAATACACATTAAATTAATAGTTAATAAAATTACCAAAACAAACAGTTTTATATAAAAAAATGAAACCAAGACCAATAAGGACAATCATCAGTGATATTCAACACAAATATATAGCTCGCTTAAACAAAATATCTAATATAATGTATTTTATTAAGCCAGGTGTTAAATGTCGATTTTACAAAATTTTAAATGTGTAATACTTAAATTATGTTAATCATTTATTTGATTCTTAAATATGTATAAAAGCTTCATTGTTGGTAAGTAAATAATATAATTTTCAATTAAAAAAAATAATTGACTGTCATTTGGATTCTGAAACAACAACAAAAAATCAAAACATATTATATAATTGTCAATCAATCAAAATAAATGTATATGTAACCTTACATATAAAATGTTATGAAATGACACTTGTTCTATCGGTTTTATAAATTATAATTAATTAAATTGACAGTTTAGCTGTTATTCAGTGGGTTCAATGATAACTGAATGCCATAATTGGATAAATAATATGATAAATTTATTGTCAGATTCATACTAAAATTATTTTGGCACTGGATATTCTATTAATTTAATTGTAAAATTGTATTCTCTAATCAAAGAACAAAGTATTAGCTTCTTAATTTTAATAAATTCAAATTAGTTCCAAAATATTGGTATAGGTTTTAAGTAGATAGAATAATGTTAGAGATTAATTTAAAGCTAATTCCTCGTGCCACATTAGAAAACCCCTTGTTTTTTTCTGAGATAAAAATGAAGTTCTAAATTTGGATAGGTAATTAATTTTTCAATTTTTTTTATTCATTGATGTCATTTAACTCTTATAATTTACTTAATAATCTTGTGACATAAATATAAACAATTTTGACTTGTAAAAATTTTCGAATTTAATTTATCATTTAATATTAATATCTAATATTACATTTCTCACCTATTGTTGACTTGGTGCACAATATTCCTTTAATGTCCGTCGGGTACATGGATTATAACAGCACTCCTCTGTTATAAGCGGTATACCCATTTTTCGACGATGTACTATTGATTGAGATACACCAACTAAAAATGAAATAATTTAATTTTCAAACTAGGTCTTATTTACAGTTGCATACATAGGTATTTTGGTTATTATAATTATTAATTTCATTCATTATTAATGTATTATAATAAGGTGTTTAAAAGATACTAACACAGTCTCGAAATTATATTTATTAAGAAAAAATATCTACAAATAAAGCTTAAAATAACTCTACAAAGATACATTCGACTAACCTGGCAACTCATTGTATTTGCCTTGACATATCCCTTCTAATTCGTCAGCCAGTTCTGATCCACAATGGTTATTCAGGTTGTCCCAAAAGGGATCATATAAAGGTGTTTTTATCAATGGCTTCGCACATACTAGGCTTGCATAAAAACATACTAAAATAAACCCTTTCATTGTTTTTCTGAAATACAAACAATATTAAGCATTATGATTTTTTAAAATAATGAAAAGGAATAAACCAGTGAGTGTGGGGGATTCCTGGACTAGATAAATAATTTAAATGAACTTGTGGGTTATAAATGATTTTTTTTAACTTTATAAGTTCAGTATAGAACGAGGATAACATTTAATAATTATTTAAAAGGGTATTACCTTTTATGTGTATTTCCGTAGAATAGACGAAATTGATTAGACAAAACACCGAATTTATGTTTAAAAATGAATATATTGCTTATAAATACAATCAAATTCGCTTAAAACAACTTTCAAGAGACTTAGAGGATGTGATCGTTATAACCGAACTTCGTTATATCCGGATTATAAAAATTAACTACACATAAGATATAAATTAACCAAATATATTGTTGCTTGAAATCGTTTTACCCGAAATATCGTTATATACGGAATCGTAATAAGTGAATTCGACCGTACTATAAATTAATGTAATACAATTAAAAAATATGAATGTTGATTGAATAAAAAAATAATTTTCCGTAATAATAAGTATAAAGTATCTTACAATATTACCAGTTTTGTGATGAACACACATGAAAAATCATCAAACGTGAAAAAGTAAGACAGCCACTAACCGGTTCACAAAAAAGAATGGAGGACTGTAAAAATGTGAAATGTTATAATATGTTGTATTCAAACGACTGTCACCTCCCTCGCCAACAAATATCGAGAAGACAGTGTTTACCGTACTACAATTACATAAAAGAAACCAATGAAGTCACTCGCTGTATAGTAAATCGTGAGTAAACCTAATCTTTCCCTATAAATGTACAAAATAATTCTCGATTTTTAAAAATTTTAAATTCAATCACCCATGAACACTGTTTTAGATATGACAATATTTTTTTAATTTTTTTTTATAAAGATAACATAAGAAATACCTGATAAATTTATTTGATTTAAATGAATTAAATCAAAATTTAAAATTGAATAGTTATTAGTATTGCGAGATTTTTTCTATGCATTGAATTATTTTAATTATCGGTCATTGTCTTTTTATAAAAAATTAAACTTATAATAATATCATCTAATAATGAACAAAAATAATTATTTTTGTGTGTGTAATAATTTATTAATGAATTTAAATATAGCGCATCCATTTCAGAGATTTACTCTTCAATGTTGAAGTCCCCTACCTAATCTTGCAAAGCAGAGCAGTTACTTATTATTTTTATTTTTTGATAATGGATCATAAGTATACTTAAAGTGCATATTATACTGAATTGTTTGAGATTTTAATGCATTTCTATTATTTTTTCATCAAAAACCAAATTTTCATCCTATGCATTTTGACACATAAAATAATGTGGTAGTGGTAGTACTATATGTTATATTGGTAATATCGCCACTATAGGTTGTGTATATATCAAAATGAGCTCGGACTACATTATATATACAGAATGTTCAAAAAGTTTGGAAACGATCATTAGAGTGGTTGGAATTGATAAACGACATTATGATTCAACTATTGAAGTTATTAAATTTTTTACGTGATTAATGTACAGCATTGTTATTTGTTATTGATTTATGTAGGTGTTTAAGTATGTATGCTGTTATGAGTTACCAAGCTTTTTGAGCACCCCGTATATAAAGGAATTTTTCGAGGGTTGTTGGATTCAATTGTAATGTGTATGCCTTTGTGACTGTTCTTTTTACAACATTTACAATAGAAATACTTGTATTTATACATATATTTATATTTTTGGTAATATTTTCTCTTTTGATAATCTATAGCTATTAGGTGTTAGGAATTTTGGGTACCTGCAGTGTTGAAAATATTTTCTTAACATGGTCCACTATAGCTATGTATGTCCATTTCGACGAAAGGTCTTTGAGGGGGACTCATTTAATATATTATTATTATTATTATTGGGAATTGTAAATATTTGATTATTAGTTACTTTTTAGTATTTTCTATTTAATATTTAATATTATTATTATTACATTATGCCCGTGTGTTGTGGTATAGAATGGTAAACTTATGGTATATTTAGATGTCTTAATTTAAGTTATTCTTATTGATTCGGGTTAATGAACAAGAATTCTATTTTATTTTATTTTAATTTATTTCTTATTCTAGAAAATGTTAATGCAATAAGTAACATAAATCAAAAATTATTTAATTATTTATAAAATAACGTATCTTGAATATGATAAAAAGTAGCTCGTTACTTATTAAATTAATTGCAATTAAAATCAGTCGAGTTAAAAAGTTAAATTTAACTTAGCTTTAACTTTTTAATCCATTAATGTCCAGGCTTGAAAAGTTGTAATATTTTATATAATAAAAATATTTAATAACCATTATTTTAACATTTAATAAATAAATAACAATTTGCCTTTTTTTTCCTGGGGTTTTTTTTTAATACCGTACCACGTAAGAATATTTTCATTTCATTGGAATGAAAAAATAATATAATACAGTGAACTCTCGTTTTATATTTTAATATTTCACAGAAGTTTCCTTCACTTATTTTAGATTGATTTGTAACTAAATATTTTATAGTTTTAAATCAGGGTTATCATAGTGTGGGGTGTGACATTATGGGGGGCCGCGAAAGCTTTATAGGAAGGGGCGCAAGAAAAATTTAAAAATTAACATTGCATTGGTAACACAGAAAAAAATTTGTGAAATTTTCGTAATAATATTAAAATTGGACGATTAATTAAAACCTTTTATAAAAAATACATTTTATTTTAAAATAAATTTATAATATTAATATCAATATTAGCTTATATATGTTGTTTGTTTTTAACTTTTTGTTACTCTTAACATGATTATTAAAATTATTTTTATGAGGGAAACACAGGTTTGCGGTTGACCTAGGGGGGGGGGGGGGGGGCTGGCCTGAAAAGTTTGAGAACCTCTGGTTTAAATAATCTTCTTTTATAACAATTGTATGCTGATATAATGAATTTTCATAATAAAACTATAATTTTTACAATACAACTTACAGCCATCGAATGAAATTGAATCAAAATCTTAATGGTTTCTTAGAGTAAGTTCTTGGCGATCACATAACATTATACCCATTCTATAATACAAATCATGCATTTTAGTTCTTTAATTACTTGTTTATTCCTAAATAGGTAACCGCAATTGTATGTTAAATATCCAAAAATTTCAAACTTGCCCATCTTCTTTTTGGCCTCTCTAATTTTTGTACTCTACCATCCTACGCCATACCATTTCTCACCTATCTATAAAAAAAAATATTAAATTTCACAATGTATTGGTTAAGTATAGTAAATAGGTAGGTACTAGTACCAATTAGAATGAAAAATTAATTATAATATTATTAATTAGGTAAATCAAAATTTCATGAATAAAATCATTAATTTATTAAAATAATGTAGTCAACAAATGACTATACCAAAAGTCTAGAAATAAGTAAATAAAAAACTACCTCCTATATTATATTATTTTATATTTTTCATAAATAGTTGAAGTGCTGAGATTGACAGTGTAAATATTATTATGTAATAAAACACTATAAAATAATAATTATTTTAATAATAAAAATAAATAAAATAGATACTTAATTTAATCAACAATATTATGTATAGCATAAAATGTCTTAATAATGTATAATCTGTAGTACGTAACATGTATCTATTAACTAAAACTAATTAATACCTACCTAATGCTAGAATATCCAAAATTACATTGACGCATTATTATTAACCAATAAGGAATTAATTACAATAATTAGTAAATATAAAAAGTAGGTAAATCAGACTTAAGTAAATAAAATTTATTCGAAGTATCTATGTATAATTATCGTACTTACCTTTTTCGATTCTTGAGTACTTTTGGATTATTAAAAAACTTATTAAAGTTCTCTTCATTATTACATTATGCCTTATTAACAGTTTACTACGATCTACGACGCTAGTACGCTGCGTGTTTTGAATGAATCAATACTAAAACTCAACAGAGAATAATATTATATAATAATATATTATTGTTATTTTAATAGGTATGTTTATCGAAGATAGTATACATAGGTTCACTATTGTAGTGTTGTCTGTAGTTGGATTTAGATTAATATACGTTCGATAACCCGTATTTGGAATTTCTAGTTTTCAATTTATTATTAGATGTGTTATTGTCTTGTCTCAAATTGTCGAGTAACAAATATTTATAAAATAAAATCTTAGAATTTAATTTTTGTTATAAAATTGTTAATTTTATGGAGTTATATAATATATTATTATGTTGGAATTTGAGACGATTATACAGCATAATATTTAAAATTTTTAAATATAAAATTAAGGGGGCCAGTTTGGAGCTACTGATTTTTCTTAGAGAGCCAGGTTCCCTAAGTTTCTGCCTTTTATGACGTGCTTGGTATTATATTTACTAATTAATTAAAATTTATTCAACTTATCCGCCTTAATGTATTATTGATTATCATTAACGTCAAATATTTAAAAATTGACAATTGTATTTTATAATTACAGACGTCTTATAATAATATGTTGTTTTTACATCATCTTAGAAAAAGTAAGTCATCGGATCGTTGTCTTGGTAGATTTGTATTAGAACTTATAGTATTGAGTGACCGTTATTGTTTTTTATCATAATGATAAAGTACTGTCTAGTAATAAAATTAAATATAACATATAAGTATATATTATGCAGGGATAGGCAAGATAGGTACTCAAAAATCAGTGTTACGATACCTACTAGATACTTAGATTTGAAGTATCGAGTTACTATATAATCGATAAATACATTTTAAATATTTAGGATTTAATATACTGCTCAACCAGAGTATATGTATGTAACAGGTAAGTATGTAATATTTCCTGGTACCTACGTAACATACTACAAAAATAGGTACCTAATTTACATTTTTTTTTTAAATCACTTTGTAATTTACTTTACATACACCAAGTTTATAAAATTGTTGATTTTATGGGTACACATGCGTATGCAATCTATAGTCGATTTATTGATGTCGTATACTATCTACACCAGAGGTTCCCAACCCGTGGTACGCGTACCACTAGTGGTACGCGGAAGGCTCATAGGTGGTACGCGAAGAAATTTTTTTATTACTATTTGCATTCAATATTATTTAGTTTAGTTTATTTGATATTAGCTAATTTTATAAAATTATTATTTTATCAAAATAAATTTAATGTCGATAACATGGGGTTTGTAATCGTAGCAATTTAGAATTTTAGATACTCTATTCTTATCGATAAAGCGCATTCTTATAGTTTTAAGTGTTTTAACGTTTGTGTTATTTATATTATATTTTATATAATATGGTATATTGATGACCTTGTGAAAAATAAACAACAACAAATATCACATTAATTTTATTTATTTAATTTTATTATTATTTATATTTATTATTTTTTTTTATTAATTTGAAAATTGTAATTTAAAATTTAAATATTTAGATTTAACTAAAAATTATGATTTTTTTACTTTCATAAATATCAAATAATAAAAATGTAAAGAATTGAATGAATAATAAAAATATACGCTAAAAAAATTTGACTCCTAATTTAGTTTTAAAATTGAGGTGGTACGCGTATTGATTATAAAAGTGTCTGATGGTACTCGATGATAAAAAGGTTGGGAACCCTTGATCTACACAGTTTTCCATTTTTTTTTCACCAAGTTGTTAATCGTACCAAGAACTTCATAAACCCACAAACAGATTTTCAATTATGAATAATTGAGCGTTTTTAGACACACGTAATGCAGTAATAGGAAAATGTAATATACCATCACGTGGAGCAATAAACCTACTCAAAAGGCAATAATAATTTTTAGGGAAGAATGACTTCCAGTCCATCCGACTAATGTGTTTGAAAGTTTTTTAAAAGACATACTTAGTCATAAAACCTTTTTATATTATCAATTATGTTTATGGAAAATATCTTTGATAATTAAGTTTAAGTTTTCAGTATTCATAAAAAAATACTTTTTAATATCATAGTACTGAAGACTATTCAGTTATTAAATTATATCAAAGGAAATATTTTTCCAAAATCAAAATGTAGATGTAATTATTTCTATGTTTAGGTATCCGCCCGGTTTTGGCGACATCGCGGAAGCAATGCGTAAGCAGTTCCCGTGGCGTCATCAATTCAAAAAATAAAGTATCTGTTCGGTTGCCCGATGGGCCAATACATATTGGTATGTAATTTAGTGATAGGCACAATCGAATGATTAGTAATCGAGACATTTTCATAATCAAGAGAATTTCTTGAAAAATTATTCGAAATTAAAATCGTTTTTTCGTATGATAGAATAATCGACTATTACATATCGAAAAATCATTCGAAATATGAATATACTTATAGTAAATAATTATTAGTTAAATTTTGATTTTTTTAATTGTTGGATTAATATTAATTAAAAATTTAACTATAATTTAAGAATAATAATTACCAGGATATATTAATAATGCATTATTAATAGATGCTTTAAATAAAAAACAAGTTTTTTTTTTTTTTTTAATAATTATTGTTTAAATTTTGAATTATTTTATTGGCCTAAGTTTTAAGATACTGTAAATTTTTAATTATGAAAAAACTCTATTATAATTTTTCATATATTTGAATGAAACATAAATATATTACAAATGTGTATAGTTACCAAACCCAGCAAATGTTGATAATGCATTTTAAGTTTCAAATAAAATGTATTAAATATTCTCCAAATTAAAAATATTAAATAATAGTAACTATTAAAATAACTTTAAAACAGTTTGTAATAGTAAGTATATGAATATTAATTTTTAATGAACAAAACTAGATAAAATATAAAGATGTAAAAATAAACAAAAACTTTTAAAACAAATATAAATTACTATTTAAAAATATAATAAAATCTAAATTATTTGGAGATAGTCGACTTCTATTTGTATATCATTTTTCAGATTTAAAACATATTAAATCAATTACCAGATAATAATTCAAAACATTTCAATATTCGATTATTTTACTCATAATAGAACTTACTCAATTACTTGATTATTTTACTCATAATTATGTATTTACATATTATTTTGTTAAGGAATATCGATATAACTAAATTTGTTCACTTTTATCGTATTTAAAAAAAAATAATAAGTTAGAATACCTATGCCCAAGAGCGGATTTAAATATTTGCCACCCCTATGCCAAAAAAAAAATTTACAGTCCTTATTTAAAAAAAAAATTATCTCTGTACAACAAAATTTCCTTACATGATAATATTTTCTATGTATTATACAATTATTTTTTTCATTTAATTAAAGTTCAATAAAAAACGTTTTGATTCAAATATAGTATTTTTTCTTTATTCTTATTATACAAGAAAAAAATAATAAATTTATTAAATAATTATTTGATTATATAAGTAGTTTTAATGTTAAATATTTATTTTGAAATTGAAAAATGGAAGAAAAAAATTAAGTATTTTTCAATAGGTAGGTACAAGAATAAAATAAATATTAAATACAATTTAACTGCATATAAAAAGCCGCTCTCCATAAATTTGCCACCCTATGCGGCTGCATAGTTCGCAGTGCCTTAAATCTGCCCCTGCTTATGTCATGTTAAACTTCATTGTGAATACACCAGGTTGGTTTTCTAAATCATCAGTTAATCACCCCGTTCGAGTAAGCAAATTGACAAATTTATACAAATTTACAAATTGAGTTAATCTCAGCTTTCATTTTTGTAAGTCATATAAAAATTACTATAGGTACTCCATTTTAAATCACAATTAAGAACGTACCGCGTCGCGCATGATTATTAGTTAGAAATAGAACCACACGACTCTTGAACAGAATTAGTAGTTGATAGTTATTTTATAATATTAGTCGCCATCTGTTGGCTACTATAGATGCCGTCGTGTATTGTGTATACAGAGAATTCAATACAACGTACTGTATTGCATGGATTTTCTACTCTTATTATTTACCGCATCGTTCAGTTCACTACGTATACAATGTGATGAAACTGTCAGTAGCTGAAACTGCCTGCGATGTGAGGAACATGCGCGAGTTTCAACCGGTTTTCGTCTAAGTACACTTACCTATTTTAATAGATTAATAAGTAGTTTTAATTAAAAAAAAAATCTGTAATCATATCAAGGTACGATGTAGATAATAAATAATAATGTACCAGGAAGGATAAAAACCAATAGGTGGTAAATTGTTATAAATAAAAATTTAGCATTAAATAATTTGCGACAAAACTGATATTAAACATTATACGAACTACCAAAATTGATGTTATACAATGTAAACATGATTTAAGGTACTACTAAATACCTCAGCTGATGACCTTGTATTGAAGTGAATATTTTAGAGGGTCAAGGGGGTACTTAAATACACATTTATTTATGATTTTCAAATTGTTTACACTTTTGGTGTGCGTACTCGTATATACAATACAACCAGTGTTGAATCCAGGTATACTTCAGGGGGGGCGAATGCCCCCCCTGAAATTTCTTTCGCCCCCCGACAAATACAACTTTCAACAAAATGTACCTATTTATTAAATGCATAATACTCATTACGATTACCGCACCTAATGGTGTTCAATAAAATATAATTTATTTATATCATTGTTTTTATACCGTATTGCCAATATCTACTAACTTTCCCAAAATTATAGCAGTTATAAGATAACGAAAAATAATTATCACGGATTACAATTTTTGATGACGGCTAGATTACGATATAATCTAAAACTACGTACGGTTAGGTACCTACCTACTATTGTCACGGACCGTGGACACTAAAATAATAAGTTTAATCAGTTGTACCTAGTTGTTTGTACCTGTATGTTGTTCCGTAACAAAAATGTCCAAAAGAAAAATAACAGATTTTTTTTCACAAAATAAAATAACCAAAACTTCAGAGCCCCAAGATTCTCACCATGACACGATTGACACAGATTTAGATGAATTACCAACGCCTACCTCTACAAAAAAAGGTAAAGAAAAAAGATTTTATAATAAAAAATGGGAAAATGATTTTCCATGGCTTTATTTTGATGTTCAACGTAATGGTGCTTTTTGCAAATTATGTGAAAAACATGCTGTAAATGATTCCGTACTATTGACAAGCACAGGGGGAGTTTTTATTAAAACACCATTTAACAATTTTAAAAAAGCACTGGGAAAAGATGGTAAATTAAATAAACATAACGATTCTGCATCACATATTCGCAGTATAGAACAAGAAAGACTGACTTTAGTATTCTCGAAAAATCCTGTTTATTGCCAAATTTTAAATCAAAGTTCCGAAGAATGTAAAATCAATAGAAAACATTTCTCTCTTTTATTTCGCTCAATTTATTTTTTGGCTAAAGAAGAAATAGCACACACAACCAAATATGAACCTTTAATTAAGCGTTTAATTATGAAAAGTAGTGAATCATTTGAAAATTGGATCGTCACAAATAGTGACAGATCTACATATATTAGCAAAGCTACAGCTAGTGAGCTTTTATGTTGTGCATCAGAAATATTATGCAAGAAATTAAATAATGAAGTTTTTGGAAAACAATTTTCCTTAATGGCCGATGAAAGCACAAATGTTAACAATAAATCTGAATTATCTATATGTATTCGTTTTGTTAAAAATAATCAACCAGTTGAACAATTTCTTGGTATTAGAGATTTATCTGATACTAAAGCCCATACAATCGTAAACGAAATAAGTTCTGAATTAACAAAACACAATCTGTCCTACCAAAATATTATTGCATGTGGTTTTGATGGGGCTGCAAACATGTCGGGAAATAAAAGTGGAGTTCGTAGACTTATTAGTGAAAAAGCTGGAAGGGAAGTTCCTTATATACATTGTCGAGCACATGTATTATCACTTGCACTAACGAGTATGCGTAATAAATTTCCAAAAATTAAACGCGTTTTTCATGTCTTAAAAGATATTTACAAATTATTTCACCAATCGCCCAAACGCGAGGAAATGCTTCACAGAGTGCAAACCATAATTAATGATCCTATTTTAAAAGTACCAGAGGCTATAGAAATCCGTTGGTTAAGCCACTACAAAATTGTCCATGCAATCAAACAATCGTATATTGCTATCGCTACAACTTGTGAACATATACATCAAGATGGTGCCGATTTAGCCTCATTAGCAGGTGGGATTTTGTTAAGTCTCCGCGAAGAAAGTTTTGTTATATTGTTGTGTGGATTGGACGAAATACTAGGTGCCGTTTCTAATTTAAGTTTAACATTACAATCTTCCAATTTATGTATTTCGGTTTTACCTACTATAATTAAAAGTACGAAAGATCATTTAAATAAAATTGCAGAAAGTTTAAAACAAGATGTCTATAATAGCACTATTATTAAAAATGCTACCGAAATTTCAAAGAAACTTAATTCATTAAAAAAAGACGATGGCATTAAAAATACATTAAAGTATATTTTATCATTTTTAGAACAAGTAATAAAAGAGATGGATCGTCGATTTAATGATACAGCAGCTAAGCTCATAGAAGGGTGTTCAATATTTGAAAATTATAGTATGTTATCAGATGCATCAGAAAAATTGATTGAACAATTGTGTGACTGTTTATCTATATCTGAATATGATAAAGAATGTATAATATTAGATTTCAAGTCTTTTAAATTTGTAGCTTTGAATAAAAAAGAGATTGGTGGAAACCCCATATCTGATCTTCTTGAAGTTAATATGGGTTATCAACATTTAAGAAAATTAGCAGAATCAGTTTTATGCATACCAATTGCCACTGCTACAGTCGAACGATCATTTAGTGCAATGAATCGAATTATGTCAAAACTTCGAAATCGTATGGGACAAGATACATTGGAATATTGTATGAAAATAAGTATTGAAGGCGAAGAAGACCCACCTCAGGAGTTCATTGAAGAAACAATTGATTTATATGCAAGAAAAAAAACTCGTCGCATAAGATTAATTTAAAAATAAATAATTAATAGGTTTCTAATTTATTTTGTAATTTTTTCAATATTTATAATTTCTGAATTGTAATAAATTAAATAATACAATTTATAATATGTGACGACCTTAGATTAACCTTAGATCGATTTAAAAATTTAAAAATTAATAATTTGTTTTATAACTTTTTAAATATTTATAATTTCTGAATTGCAATAAATAATAATAATAGGTAATATGATTTATAATGTGTGACAATTTTAGATTGATTTAAAAATTAAAAAAAAAAAATTTGTTTTTAATTTGTTTTGTAGTTTTATCTAAATTTGAAATGTCTAAATTATAAATGGTAATAAGAATAACTACCTATTAATACATATAATTCATAATACTAAAATCACGTATCCCCATTCACCAATGAAAAAAAAAGTGAACCCCCCCAGAGAAATTGTCTGGATTCAACACTGAATACAACTTACATTTTTTTTAAATGGAAACATTAATTATTTTTTACATATTCGGATAGATTATTTTTTTTTTAAATGTTTTTTTCTTTTTACAAATCTAATAAAATTAGAGAAGTCAACATTTAAGTTTATGCATAATTCGTGTTTAACGAAATTTTCATTTAAAATCACTGAAAATAATAAATAAATACCAAATAAATGTTTAATTAACCTTATCTGTTTACAAATAATAATTCAATAATATCGTATTTTGAGTATGTGATCATTTTTATTTAGTTAACTGCTATCATAAGATTTACAGTTTTAACTAATTTTATTGTGGAATTTAATTTAATTTTTCAATAGTTCTAATAACGATAAGATAATCAGATAATAATATATAATAATAATTAAGGTATTTAGTTTGATGAAAAAAGATAATTTTGCTTTATTCTTTACTAGATCCGTACCAATGTTTATGCGCTATCCGTGTATATCTGGTTGTTAAGTGTTTCTATAATTAAGATTTTTCCTATTGTTTTCTATACTTAGTTATATATTATCCATTTGTTGAAAGTTTCAAGATTTTAATTTTTTTTTTTTTATGTTTAAGAAGTATTTTTATTTTAACAATTGTTTTATAATAATAAGGACAAAAGACTTAATGTAAAATCAAGACTGATTACATAAAAATATCAAAATGTTATAAACATATATATATATATATATATATAAAGTGATCTTAACTATGTACCAGTGTCATTTTTTTTTTTTTTTTAAACAAAATAGGGTCCACTTCACCTCTCCAACTGTTTAAAATGGTTTGTAACGGAAATAAAACACCCAGTCCACTTCACCCCTCCACGTATGTGAGTAAAGTGGATCACTTTTTAGAACAAAAAAAAAAGTATAAAAACTAAAAAAAAAAAACAAAAAAGTCATGAACAGGTAGTTGTATTCATAAGTATAGATTATATATTTCAAGTTTCAATCGATTTGATCAAATAGATTCTTCGGAATTTTAAAAAATATACCAAAAAATGGTCCACTTCACCCCGTTTTACAGTACATAATAGGTACCTATAATTAAAAAATAATCATATTAACAAATCTCTGCTGTTCAATAATATTTTTAATTATAATTTAGAACCTCGAGAGTGTTTTGACACAATATATTATATTTTGATTACATACAGCTAGTACTAATAATGTTTATATTTTAACTGACCACTTTACTTACACTTGACATCTGATCTAGTCATATAGCTCTGGTATTAAAAAATGTTTTATATAAAAAATGAGTATATATTTACATAAAACAATAATATATACTTATAATTCACTTTTTAATTAAATATTTATTTATCATATTTTGTTATAAGATTTTTAAACAAAGCTAAAATTGTTTTATATTACTTAAAGTAAACTCTGTGATAAATTTATGAAGTGAGAAAATATTTATGATACAACAAAATATAGGTAATTTTGTTTATGATTTCTGGTTTTACAAAAATTAATGGTAGTTATTATACTAGTATATTTATTTTATTTTTATTTCTTTTAATCACTTCATTTTTAATATACTTTCTTAAAATATATTATAATTTGCCCAGTTAATTTTGACAATCAACAACTGTAAAGATTTTAAAAAACTATATATTTTTTTAATTTGGTATAGTTTTAGGGATCTTCTTCAGATTTAAATGGTTAATGATTTCCGAAATAAACTTAATGAATTATGGTCACAATAATATTGTACTAAACACTCAACATTATATATTAATACAAAATGTTTCATAATAATTATTATTATTATTACATATTAACCAATGTGATTAATTTTCAATGGTGATTGAATTGGGCACTTGTCTAATTGTTGTCATGTTAGATTGTATATAAATGTAGAACTTTATTTTTATTTGATTAATTTTTTAATAGCTCTGTTAGCACAATAAATATCATATAATTTTAATAAATAGGTGGAATATATATTATATTAATTTAAATTAAGAAATTTTATCTTTATTTGTATTCAGTGATGAAAAATGGATTATGATTTGGATTTTATTAATGTATAGAACATTAAATATAAAACAATATTTAATGATAAATTTAGAAATTGAATATGATAAACTTTATATGAAAGGGTCAATTTATTTGATTATTTTGTTAATTACCATCAGAATGGCTACTAAATTTTACACTTATGTATATTTAAATTAATTCATTATAGTTGATTTCATATATTTTATAAGTTTTAAAAACATTAATAGGTATATATATATTAAATCCATGAATTATATGAATATTATAAAATATTTATAAAATCATCAATATTTGTTTGATCATTTTGAATTATATACTCATATCATTTAAATGGTTATGACATTTTACAATAATATATTCTTTTATATTTAACTATTTTCTTAAGTTCTATTTGATATTTATTTTTTTTTTGTAAATTACCATATTTTTATATATAATGCTTGGCTTGATTGTGAACTTGTTATGATATCTAATCATAGTTATAAATTATTGGTACATTAAAATATCAAAATTAAGTATATAATAAAATATATATTATATATTTATTAATTTTAAATCAATTATTATTAATTATCTCAATGTAAATATTACATTAAAATTAGCTATTCCCAACTAACCTTGTTAGGTTAGGTTATTAAAAAATAAAAAAATAAATATCAAGTATTAGTACTATTCACATTCTTATTAGGTTAATTGTAAATAACAATAAATAAAATAATTATACAAATTAACATTTACATACAGAATTAAAAAGGTGTTAATAATTTTACAGAAAAAAATATTTAAATATAAATTTTATGCGAAAAGATATACTTATTCAGCTTAATGTAACAATATTACATTTACAATATATTATTGGCATTCCAAATTTTTATTTGCTATTTCAACTGATTCTTCTTCTATTACATTTTTAAAAGCCTCTTCAATTTTAGGATCTCTAAAAAAGTTTTTAATTATTAATAAAAAAAAAAAAAACTAACTAAATGTTAAAAACTTACATCTTAATTTTATCTTTGTAAAATTCTACAACATGTTTTTTGTTTGTACGTTGAACACATAATACAGCATCAGAAGGTGCAGAGTAGTACAGCTCTCTAACATTATAATTCCAACTAATATACTAAAAAGTAATAAAATATAACGTTTAAACCAAACTTGTTATGAATAAATCATTTTATTTTATATACCTCTTTATGATAATAATATACTTACATAAGGAGTATTTTTGTATAATATTTTACCACCTTTTTTGAAAGGAGCATACTTTTGTAACAATTCCTCGTCATCAATTTTCCATATAAGTGGGTTCTCTTCACAAATCATATCAACTTTGAGTACAACGAATGCGTTCAACTAAAATATAAATTTTAAATTTAATTTAAGCTAAAAACACAATGTATTAATAAAGTGAATTTTACATCTGGTTTATCTTTATAAAAATGTTCCTCTTCTTCTCCTAAGTCTTCATCTTCATCATCTTCAGACTCTAATTTTTCTTTTTTAACTTCTATTTTAGTCGCTCTTTCCAAACCTCTAACTGATATTGGTATCAATGGTGGTAGGGGTATTCTAGGTTTTGTTTCTTTTTCTTTTTTAGTTAAAATTTCTACTTTATCTTTATCCTCCAAAATCTTCGGATTTTTTTTAATATCGGGTTTATTTTTGGTTGGATGTGTTCGTTTACCTAGAGTATTGGACTAATGAATAAATAAATAAATAAATAAACTTTTTATTCATAACATATAATACTAATAAATCATACAGTAGTTGGAATCCATTCATCGTCAGAACTATCTGTCACTTCTATCGGATCATTAACACCAAATTCATCTTCTGAGACACCTGTTACAACTTTTTTTCTATTCATTATGACAAAAAATATAATTTAAATTTAATTCATTTCAAACATCTTGTGTTATATAGCTTCGGTAATTAATTGCCTTTTATCGAGTGTGTATTCAACGATTGATAATTAATGGGTGAAGAGCAAAAACAGTAAGGGATAATTAAAAATTAAAATGTCTAACGAGACAACACGAAACGATAATGATGGAAACTGGAAAACAAATGGTTATCACAAAACTAAGAAGCGACGAATGCAAACAAACCGAACCTGATTTTTATCAACAATACTATCAATGGACGCTCGGTTGGAAGAGTTCAGACGATGGTCACGCCGTTTTACTGACACCAGATTTAATCTCTCGGAAGAAACAATGAAACCGGGGCAGATCAAAACTACAGATACACCAACTTTGAAGTACCAAGTAATCTCATTCCAATTTTTTTCCAGAATTTTTATTTTCAAATTTCAAACATTATTGAATGATTATAGTAAGATTAAAATATTATGGTACACTCATTGTACGATTTTAAAATTTAAGATAATTATTTTCTTAAGTTATTTTAGGAAAACTCGAGAGATTGGAAGACAGATTTAAGAAACTTAATGGTTCCTCGTAACGAGGTTTTTATATAATAATATGTATACTTGGAAATTCTGATGATGACACTCTTTTTAGTTATTGACTATAAAGGGAGATTATTATTACATCCTCCATACTTTTTTTTTTTTTAATATTATGTTCTCATAGCATTTTAAAATAATTTTGTGTAAAATACATAATTTTTGAAAAAAGGAATTTAAATTTTATAACTTTAAATTTTTTGTATTGTACATTTAATTAATTATTTAATAAGACATACCTATTGTGTGTAATATCAATTAATTGTATAGTAAAACCTGTTCTGTGCGGAATTGTACGGGACCGAAAACATTTCCGTTTTAAGCAGGTTTCCATGTAATTGAATAAAAAAGAAAATTCCGTACTATAGAGTTACAATATTCTGTATGATTAAAATTTAAAGTTATAAAATTTTCCGGCCAACAATAAAAATTAAAATGTTGAAAATTAATTAATATCATACGCTACAATAAATTTTAATTTTTAGTAAATAATTACATGATATGTATTAATTAGATATTTAAAAATAATGATTAATTTCAATTCAAAAATTTGTAGAACATAATATTTAGTAGGTATTAATCAAACAATAATATAATAAAATAAAGTTAGCAGATTAAAATACAATTAAAAATTCCAAAATTCGTGTAAAGTTTTGTCCCGTTTTTCTTTTAACAATTAACAACTTTCTTCTGTAATTTTCATTTTTTCATTTAAACTTAAATAAATTCTTCTAGACATTGTGAGAACAAATAAATGATGTATTTAAGTTTATTTTCAGTATACAAATTGAGATAAAGTAAAATATTTTATCTTAATGTTAAATAATAAACTATTAAATTATTAAGAAGGAGTGTACAAAATATTATACTGAGTGTCAGTTTATCCATTTGTAACAAACATTAGTGGTTTATGGACATATTCTTAAACATATATTTTTCTTTTTGGTTTTGTTTTTTTCTGTTTATGAATAAGGTATAGTTGTCGCTTTCTCTGTAGTTTTGATTATATAATATTTATTCTATGTAAATTGTGTTGTACTAGAGAATATCCCTGCTATGAGTCTTATACTCTAGCTAAAAGTTCAATTAAGTATGGTAATATTAGTCATATTAATGCTGTTTTTTATTAATATTGATATTGCTATCCAGATAAAAAATAAACTCAACAGTTCTGAAATAAAAGATCCAAATGTTGTTACCCATTCCCAAATTTTATATAATTTGTCTTTTTAAACGTAGTCCTTGATTTACATATGAATGTCCCATTGATTTTTGAACTATATTATCTGGATTTATTGTGGTAGTACCTAATAGATGTTTCTGTAGTGCTGTCATAGTGTCTTGGGAGTAAATCTTGCTGTTATTAAACGTTCTGGGCTTTTGTTGTTACATGTCCATAAAGTGGAGGATTTTAACGTTTGTGATTTTTTTTTTTTTTAGGTAATTTTCTATGTAAACAACTTTTGTATTGGCATATGTCATGAGATTTGTGGGATGAAATATTGTTGATGGAGAAATGATGCATAAATGTATAGACTTTTAGTATGAATAGTTGTGAGTGTTAAATCATAGGCTATGAATAATCCATAAACTTGCACTGATGCAGCAATGCTAGTATAATACTATATGTTATAATTAGTCATTGACTCATTATAGGTGTATATTAGTTATATTGTTATACTATTTAGTTTAAGATTAAGTCTTATTCTAAATTAATTTTTACATTACAATTATATGGTATTACATTCTATAAAGATTAATATTGATGTACTAGGAAGTGTATACGTATTGGTATTAGTCATATCTAATATTATGTTGTAAGTTTTGTCTTAAAGGGGATTGTAAACGTCTGTTATTTCAACCAAAATATACCAGTCTTTTGTCAAATTTACAGATGGACGTAGTAATTCGATAATAAATTTGAATTTTGATTATTCCTTACTAAAATTTAATATCTTAAAATGTGGCTTGATTGATCTCAAGCGGATATTTTTAAGAATTCAAATCAGTTTTCAGAAGTTTAATCACATCATTAGGTCCATTGGTAGGGTTGACAAAAAATATATACAAATCAGCATACATTAACTGTTGACGCGTGCGATGTCGTGTGGTGACTTGTACTCGCGTGCGGAAGCGTTTTCCTTCAAATCCTTCACTAGTCCTACATAGCTTAGTTCTAGGAATATATTATCTAAAAATCAAAAGTCTACTGTTAGATACTGGCACGTCCGTAAAAGCCATTTCTATGAATAATATGAATTTTGCATTGTAACGATAATCAATACATTGTTTATTGTAAAATATTAAATAATATCTGTACATACAATTGTAGTATATCTAGTACGCATTCAACCATAACGTTGTTTATCGTTTACTTTTTTAACAACAATTTTAAATAGTGTATTTGATTAAAAAAATGGATAACAATATTTGTAAAATTAATAATAAAAAAATTAGATTATCCCGAAAAAAAAGCATAAAGAGAATGTATCATTACTACAAAATTGAAAAATAAATCGTATAAAAACACGGTAAGTTAAAATAAGTAGTTTATGTTTTTGTTTAATTTAAAAATAATTGTCATTTACATGGCTTTAAATAGATGTTTTATTCGAATGTTGTTATTTTATTTTATAAGAAAACTAATTATTTATTTAATTAATAAAATTTGAAATGATAATTCTGTTAAATAATTTTTTAGGTTCTTATAATATTCGTTTCGTTGTCATGACGTAGTATTAGCGCATAATTATGAACCTCAGCACTCAAGAAAGTTTTACAAAAAAGTAACTAACATTAGTCTTGATAAATATACAAAACGACATATTTCTAAAGAAATTAGATAAAAATTTCAAATTACATACAACGTATTAGCTCAAAGTAAGTAATATACCTGTTTATAATAATATTTATTTACCTCACAATTTTATTATTTTTAATTTATTAAAGATCGAAAATATGAAAAAAAATTAACTATGGAGCGGTAGATGAAGAGTTAGATTATCATCCATTACTTATATTTCATGAAGAGCTTGAAGAAAAAATTGAAATTTTTAGCTGGTTTAATATTAAAAATGTATAAGATAAATGAATTACAAAGTTAAACAATTAAATTGTGAAGAATGGAAAAATGAAAGAAATAAAAGATAAACTGCTTCACAATTTGGTAAAATCTGCAAACTGCAAAAAACTCCTTCAAGAAAAAAAAGTGATTTCAATTATATATCAATTAGATTATTTTCACGATAACTCTGCAACTTGGTAAATTTGAACTCTGTTCCTCTTTAAATGTAGATAATATTTCACTTATTTAATAATTTGAATTTAATTACGGAATACAATTCGAACTTGTAGCCAGACAAGAATTTGAAAAGCTGTATTCTCAGAACCTCCACTCGTAACGTTTCCCCGTCAGACCGGCAGTGTCATTTACTACGCACATATTACTATATAGTATGGATCGCACGTTGTACTTATATTATTGCTTATACTTACTCCTTAAAAACTGTCCGTTTGCAATTCCTTTAATATTTTGTCAAATACATTATTCATATAGGTACCTATCAACCTATTTTTGATAATTACAAATTTTATCATGAATTAAATATTTAGTATAATATGTTTAGAACTATTATTATTATTATTATTATTATTTAACATGTGTACTTTTTGTCATTATTCATTTTTGTATTTTTTTTTTTTATAATTTTTATTTTTTCCATCAAATTTATTGTTATAAGTAAATGAACAACTTTTGAGTGTTTTTTTATTTATTTGCAATAGCTGAGTCAACTTCATTGTTTTTATGTTTTAAAAGTATAATTCATATTTTTTTTTTTTTTATAAATTTATAGTTATTACTTGAAATGTTTGTATTAATTCTGACATTTTGTATGATCAATTATATACAAATATATATATTTATGTTTTTCTTTTTTTTTTTATCTATGAATGTATTGGTTTCTTTCTTCTGACATGAATTATATCATCAGTTATTTTATTATTTAATGTTAATTGTATTCTGTAATTTTGATAATTTAGTTTTTTAATTAATTTAAATAGAACTCTTTTTTAGAGGTAAGTTTTGCAGATTTTAATACTGTGTTAAATTGAAATTTGACTAATACAGAATTTTTTGGTGTAAATGTGCTTTTTATCATATTTTAATAATATTTCATTCTTACGTGTTAATCAAAATACTGCTATACATTTTTAATAATTTGAGTCTTTATAGTTAATGAATTATAATAGATTGTTAATATTATGCAAATTTTAATTTACAAAAAATAAAAATTAGATAAAAATAAACCAAAAAAGCACAAGGTTTTTTTATAATGTGTACTGGCTGTGAACATAATTATTGTGATATTTGAATACTGTATAATATATAGGTGCAATGGTTTTCATAATATGGGATTAAAAGTGTCAAAGATTATTGGGTAGAGTACAATAAAAGTTTAGGGTATAGGGTCAAAGGAGCACAGGTAACACCATTACCTTTTGCTTTGAGGTTTATTTTTCCTTAATCTGACCCTGGTATCCATTTACACATATTACATTGTGTATTAAATTCACTATCATTATTGAAATATTTTTTTAATATTGTCTTAACTAATTTGGTCACTATAATGCACTAAAATACTCATGTATTAAAGCAGTGGTCGGCAATAGGCGGTCAGTGAAGAAAAAATAATTGGAACACAAAAAATATATTTTTTAATATTGCTGGACTTCCACACATAATATATATTTTGTGATTTATTTAGAGATTACGATGGTGTTAATTACTATTTATAATAATAGTTGCGATAACACAACAATTATTAACTAATATCTGAGTTTTCAGTTTTTACTGGCCCTCGAAATTTTTTTTTTTTTTGATTTTCTGGACCTCCATAAAATTTAATTGCCGACCCTTGTATTAAAGTGTCGTAACTAAATGTTTATCCATGATGTCACAGTGGTCTATGAAAAAAAAAAAAAAAAAAAATCATAGAATGTGCATGGACACCTTGCATGCCTACAGTACACATTTTAATTTTAATAATTGGAAATCATTAGTATTAACTAAATCCTAAGAGAAGCTATTCTTATAATCTAACAAATATGTTTTGTTATTCATTTAATTTTAATTTTATTACAAAATCTATATATAAAATACTAGATTCAATTATTAATTCAATGAACTTATATAGTTAGTAATTTGTATATCTTTAAAACATAATTTCTTATAGCTATTTTTATATTTTTTGAGTTTTATTAATAAAATTAATTACTATTCCCTAAATTTTAAAATATTCAAAAAAATATTTCCAAAATTATGGATTATTTTAAAATAATGAGTGTTGTTCTATAAAAGAATCACCCTGTATAATGAATAAAGATACAGTATAATTTTATGTACTTGTTTGTTTAATAAATAACAATAAGTATATGAACAAACAAAATAAAATAAAATAACTTTATAAAACATTTAATCATCTTTCCAAAGAGAAAATTCTTCATAAAAATTTATTACTAGTTGTGGGCAATATTTGTTTGCTATATTAGCATTCACATATGTTGTATCGTTAGTTTCTTTCCATTGTATTAAGAAGAAACGTTCACTGTTTTTTAATTGTTTCATGCTGATTATTTTTTCGGGTGTTAATCCAACACTAAACCCATTTAAGCAGAATTTTCCATTTTTCTTGGGTATTGCTTTGTTATCCATGATCTGTAAAAAATTAATAAATAATAATAAAAGATATTGCAACACTTACTTAAGACTATAAATTAGTCGCATGAATTACAGACAACATTTTTTAAGTTTTGGAGTTTATCATATTAACTATAAGGCTGCTTTCATATAAAAATCTGAAATATTTCTCATCAAAACAAAATACACTATTATTTCAAACAATGTTTACTAAAATAAACTTTTACAAATGCTCCACAAGCTCAAAGTTGCCGATGCAAATATTTAATGAAAAGTCACTAAAAATTCAAATGCATTTTTAAGAAACAGTTTTCAATATTTTATTAAATATCTTTTTAAATTTAAATGTAATAATTAATTACTTATTTCCTTTTTATCTTCCATTTAAGAGATTATAGTTTATAAGCAAGTACATTTATGTAATGATCTTAATAATAATAAAAAACAAAGCTTATTATAAATTACCTTTGAAAAATTTTTAGATATAAAATTAAGGTGTATTTAAAATCGGATGTATATCATTGTACTTTGGGTGTTAATTGTCCAGATATCATTATAGATTACAAAAGACATATGGGGAGGGGGAGTGAATTTGCTCGATTCTCTTATAGTTGTTATAAAATGAGAAATCCGAACAAAAACTTGTACTTGAGGATTTGGTATCATCAAATTGACATAACAGTTGTAAATACGTGGCTCTTATATAGAAGAGTAGAAATTCTATATAGCAGAAAACCTACATTGAGCTTATTTAATTTTTATTTATATGTATCAAATTCTTTGATTAAAATTGGCACAATAACGCCCAAAAGAGGTTGACCTCAAATATCATTATTGAAAGAAATGGCAATAAAAAAAAAAAACCTTATACGTCACTTATCTACCGATTTAGTCAGAAGAAACTGATTAGAGTCTAAACTTTAGACCATTGGCCTAGTCAAGTCTAACCTGGGAAGTAAAGAACGTTGTAAGCTAAATGGATGTGGAAGACTAATTGTACCTGTACTAAATGTAATAACTATTTCTGCTGTGAAGTAAACAGTAACTGTTTTATATTATTTCATAAATACTAATATTAGTTATATTAATTATTCATATATTTAAGGAAAGTATCTTTTGAATTTTAAAATACTAAAATGTGATAATTTGTTGTTACATTTTTAAGAATAGCTTTTTAAATTTTTATAAAATTCATAAATCATAAGTATTTATCATTTTATATGTATTTAAAGTCGAATAATCTATTATATGCGTGATCAAAATAATAAAATATGATAATTTGTTTAAATATTTTTAAGAATAATTTTTTTACTCATTTATTTTTTAAGAAAATAGTATCTTAATTTTTATATAATTTAATAGTATTTTTTTACAGTTTTTTTTATATGTATTGAAAGTGTAATAACCTATTACTAACGTGATTAAATGATTATAATGTGACAACTTGTTATATTACAAAGGAAAGATTTTTATCGTTATTTTTTTTTTTTTTGTTTTATCTCAATACATGATGTATCACAGATGATTTAGGAATTTAAATAGTTTTTATGAAATTAAATTTAAATAAAATGTTTTTTAATGTTCATGAACACTATTTACAATTAAAAATAATTATTTCAAGTAAAAGTTTCACTATCAAAATTAATTTATGCAGTTTAGGGTTAATTGAAAATAAATTCATTTTAAAATTAAAGCATATAAATAATAATTACAAGTTACAATACCTAATATTTTTTAATGTTTTAAACAAATAGGTATATCAGGTATATTATTTTAAAATAAATCAAAGAAAATTTAAAGCATTTTAACCAGGTTTAACACAGAATAAAATAATTTGAAACCTGATTTTTTCTTATGCTGCCAATAATTACATATTCTATTTTATAATTGGGTACATTGTTTGGCAAAAACAAATATAATCATAATTAATTACACTTCATCAAATCTTAACTAAATGGTAGATAAAATACATTTTTGACAAGGAATTAATCTAATTTTCATGATTGTTATATATCATTTAGTAATATTGATGTTTTTAATAACTTATAAAAATTATAACAGTTAATTAAAATTAAAAAGAAATAAGTTAATTTATTATAATATAAGCCACTATATTATTAAAATATGGTTATATGTACATATAAAAATATAAGAACCTAGTAAAAATACTGATGAAAATTATGGATAATATAAAATACTATAAAATAGTTCACTAATTTTAGCAAGAGATAACTAAATATCTTCACATATATTTTAATTTTGTTTAAATAATTACTTACTATAATTTAAATTTTAAAAATAAGTAGCAATATGATTGAATAATTTAAAAATTAACAAAATGAATGATAAAAATTACCTTTTGTTACTTTCAAATTAATTAATGAATAAAATTATATAAATGTACATACTTAATAAAGTAAAAGCTAAGCCCAAATTAGTTTAAAAATCTAATTTAGAATTTTTTAGACTATCTTTATTACACTTTTTTAATGTCTAACATGTATTTGATAGTATCAAATCACAAAAAAGTTTTGTACCTATATAAAAGTATATACTTGTCATTTAAAAAAAAACTCTAGAAGTTTGTTAGTGTATTAGTGAATTATTACTTATTAAGTATTTAGTAGGTATATTGAATACAATTTTATTATTATTTATAAGTTATATGGATAATAAAAATACACGACTCCAAAAGAAAATGAAATAGACAATTGTGCGAGTTTTAATTTTTGGCTTAGTGGAAAACAATATTTTCATGATTATCTTAAAAAATAACAACGAAGTTAAAACAAAACATAAAATTCATTCATATCTACCACTGACCTGGCTATTTGCGAAGGTCCGCGAGCACGTGTATGGTGTTTGACGAAAGGAGAACGAACCGATTGTTATACGACTACCACGTAACACCACATTAATTACCATACACCATGTGGCCAATATACCTTTCGCGGAACAATATCACACTACAAAGACTTACGGTATTGCCAATATTGATAAATACTATTTTGTTACTGTCGCGTACATAAATAGTATAAAATAAGTATAAATATAAAATTATGCTTACGAGAGAGCCCGTATGACGTTTCTCAGTGACAGCACTATTACGTATTAGACACGAACACCCAGTTATTAACAACAGCGCATACTCCTTCTCGCTACCGGTTATCGGTACTCGCTCACCAATCATTCGCAATATTCGCGATAGGCAGGGCAATAGGCGCTACCTTGTGGAAGTCATTAGAACTATTATAATGGAGAAGATGTGGTATCGCTTATAAACAGGTGTATGAATAATAACATTTTAATAATATTTTATTATTACAGTATTTATTATTCAGTATTAGTCGTACATTTAATAGAATTGAAAGTATATACAATATTTATCTATTCTGTGGTTATACGATGGATGATTAACTTAAGTGCGGATTTGTATGCATTTGCATACCATTTATTCTGATTGATCGTATGATATGCTAAGTGAGCACAAAATTTGTTTCATGCCATAACAATTTAAATGAAACTTTATAGTGCATTATTATTTTTGCATACTTCGACACTTTTCTATTTTAAGGGCTTATTTTACAATTTTAATTGCATATTTCGTCTTTTAATGCATATTATTTTAATGTTTTTTTTTTTTTTGAAATTTTTTAAATATATGCCATTGCAGACGATTATTAAAATAAGAAAAAAAAATAATATATTTTTATAGTTTGAATTAATATCAAAATAAATAAATAGGTATAAATGGTTTTCCAATTATGACCTTAGCTCAATGATCGGGGAAATAAAATACGTACCTATACTAAGGTAAGAAAATATCGAATAGGTACGGCCATGGTCGAACATTGACATTATATCACTATTGTTCAAAAAATAATTTTTTTATGCATATATTTTTTATTTTTCGTGCATATTTTAACATTTTAGTGCCTATATTTATGTATATTGAAGATTTTTTAGCGCATATTAGGTTGGTTTTTAATGCATATAAATCTGTGCTCCAATTATTACCATAAAAATAGTCCAAAAATATAATGAATAACACCCATAAGGCTTGTTGTGTTCCAGTGTTAAAATAGGTAGGTAATTATTACAATTATTCACACTTAATTTTTGGTTTGGATCTCGGCTCCCTATTAAAGGATTTGGACCAAACTTTGCACACGCCCACAGGTACTCCCTCTTATCGCCCTCACCAAATTTGGTGTAAATCGGCAGGGTTTGGGAAAAGAGACTTTCATCCTTATTGTTGCTGAGTGATTTGTTTTTTCGTAGGGCGTTACAGGCATCTAGTGACAACTTAAAGACGTTGTTTCTGCAACCATCGGAACAATCACGAGTTAATGGAGCGCGATCCGAAGGTTCGATTGTGGTGGTACTGATACCTTCGAATTTGGTATCACTATTCGTCCTTTTGGTGATCGTCGGGAAGTGGTAGCAGCAGAGGGGGCAAGGGTCGCCGGACCTTCCCCTTGCTATGTACCCGACGGCTCCAAGACCAGTCCTAGCAGGGTAGTGCCACTACTAATGGACAAAATGTTCCATTGTAGTTTCATATCGCAGTCCCCAGGAGCGCTGTTGTCCTATCAGGGCATAGACCTATAAAAATATGGACCACGTGTAGAAAGAGAGGTTAGAGGGCTGGAGTTATTAGAAGAAGATAGCTAATATTTTATGATTTCCGTGAAGAAACAAATTTATTATCATGGAGTATATTATAAAGATAGTTCATCAATGATAACACTTGTATATTTATTTAAATTTTATTCTTAATATACGACTTGTTGATTTTACTAATTAAATTTGTATTCTAAATTTACAACCTTTACTAATTTAATATTAAAAATGGTTATACAATGCATTATTCAGTCTTGTAAAAGCAAGTAGGGTGAAAATAAAATTATCTTTCATAGGTAAGTAAATTAAATTCACAATATTTACTTTCAATTATATTAAAATTACATTTCTTAAAAAAGTATACCTAAAAATCTGGAAATACTTCCAAATGGAATGACGCAATACAAATGAATCAACCAGAAATTAAACTAACAGCTCATTCAAAATTATGTAGCAAACATTTTAATGAGATAAACTATAATATGAGTGTAGTTTCAAATAAAAAGGTTTTGAAACGAGATGCTATACCTACTAATTTTCGACCTGGTATGTTTTTCTGAAATTATAATAAAAATAAATGCATAAAAAATATAATTTCTGTAATTTACTGATACACAGATACTAATTGCAGTACTTTTTTATTTTTTACTACTAATTTATACTAAAAATACATTTATATTTTATTAGAAGTATGTAAAGACTTATTTAACGTTGATGTTTTTGAGATTTATGAAGATGAAGAAGGAAATAACTTGCTAAGATGTTATGTAAGTTGTCAAATTTGTTAATTAAGTTCTTAATTTCCATTAAATGTTTTTGTATTTCTAGTAGATTCTCCAATTGATAATGATGTGTCTATATCATCCACATTTGACGGTGTTAGTGAACTTGTAGGTTCTGATCCAGATGAGGAATTTACAGCAGAACAGCCAAGTCACTCATTTATGACACCTCCAAAACCAAAGTAATTTATTGATTCAAACACCTTTATTTGTTCACCTATGTTGTTCATCATTTTATAGAAAACGCAAGTACTACGTTGGTGACTTCAGTCAAGAAGACATTGAAAGTCTTAACTCTCGGCACAAGTTTTGGAATGCTAGTAGAAATACTATTGATGCCAAACAGAAAAAGATAAATGTTCTTAGGTAAAGGAATTATCGTCTTCAACAGAAAGTGTCTAATATGGATCAATTAATCAACCATCTGAAAACGAAAAAAAGATTGATGAAAATTGTTGGCGCTACATAGTTAATTTAAACTGCCCGCCAAAAATCCTATTATCATATTATAGATTATGGATTCTCGTTACGCACTTCAAATATCTTTGTATCAAATTTTAAGTAAACGCTTAGCGTTACTATGTTTTATTCTCTAGTCAGTTCGTTTTTATCTTTCTCTCAGCACTTAGGTTGCATTAAAAAAAAAAGGTCTTCGTGTTTTTCTTTCTTCTTGTCGTCTGGATTGTCATCACATCACATGTTCTGTTTCGTTTTTCATGGCTAACTGTGCATCACGTTATTGCAGTTACAATATAATATGTTGTCACGCTCTAACCATTTCTTGGCCTCTGACTTCATTTTATTATTCTTTGTGGACTTATAGTTGGCTGTCGTGTCCACGTGTTTATGTTTGTTCATATACTTATGTGTTGTCAACTGGGATCACATTGTATGCCATTAGTTTAATATTATTCAGGGTAAGCTGGTGCACCACTTAATTTATTAATATATTTATATTATGTTTACTATAATGGTCTAATTATTATTAAAGACTGATTTATATTTATTATGTTTATTATTACAATAGTCTAATTGTCATTATTAAAGACTGATTTATATTTATAATATTTTTTAATACAATTGTCTGATTATTATTATCATTATATTTATTGTTATATAATTATTAATACACTTTAAAATATACAGTCCACTTTACAATATATTTATTATTCTTACAATTTATTCTCAAATTTATGAGAAACAGGCTAGAATGCTAAAATTGCATTCCCCTGCGTGCTCAACAAAAATTGTTTTTCATTTCTTAAGGTATATAATTTATGTATGTGAGCATTGGTGAAGTTGTATTAATGTAACATAATATTATATAACAATAATACTCATAAATATTTGTTCATTGTTGAATTTCTAAAGGTAAATATTTCTAAATGATGTGCTTGTTTCATTGAACTGTTTGTTATTCTATGTATAATTATTATTAAACATGTATGTGAGCATTAGTGAAGTTGTATTAATGTAACATAATATTAAATAACAATAACACTTATAAATATTTGTTCATTGTTGAAGTTCTAAAGGTCTATTTATTTTTTAAGAATTATATATATACAGGGTGATTTTTTTATCGTGAACCAGTTAATATCTCGGGAAGTATAAGGAATTTTAAAATAATTTTTTTTTTAACTTTTCTAAGTTTTACTTTTTTACACTGTATTACAATTTTGATAATTTTAACGTCCTCCCTTATTTGATAAAAAACTATCAGCTTTCAATTTTCAAATGGCAATACCTATTTTCAATTACGAAAATCTATAAACATACTGAAAAAAATAATTTTAACGTTTATAGAATTTAATTTGAGTAATCCGTTTGCGAATTATTAATGATTCGATATTCGTTCAATTTACTGCTACTAGGCAATCTTACAAACCCAACAGTAAAAACCAGAAGTCAAAATGAAATTTTATCTCAATTTAACACTAGCCATTAGGGTCATAATTGATAATAACAAGATAGAATAATATTAGATAAAAAAAAGTGTTTATAAAATGGTTATCAGCTATATGTAAAGTATAAAAATAACATTTTACAATTTACCATCATGGTTACACAATATAACACTGGTTACTGTTTCCTGGTATACGATCTTATCACGTATTAGTAGATAAACGATAATAAATACTGGTAAACTGTTTCTGAAAACTTGTGGTTATAGGTTAATCGTTATTCGTTAATGTTAGTTTCCCATTATCAAATATGGAATATTAATTATTAATAAAATGAATTACTATTCTTTGAATGTTTAACCAAAGAATACGTTTTAAGTAAATACTAAATAATGTGTATTATTTAAAATATAAATTTAAAGTTTAAGCCAATTATTCCAATGCATACCTATTATATTTTTTGATAGTGTTTTAAATTTTAATGTTGTAATTTGGTTAACAATTTTGAATTTAATTACAAATATACTTCTATCCAATCAGCAATATTATTATGTATATGGGAATCAGATTTCATATTTTGCCGACAACTTTATTTGTATAATTTATTGGTAAGTTCAATCTAAAATTAATATATTAGAATTTTATTTTTTTTATTAAATGATTTTTACATATTATTGACAAATAATAACCATGGTTCAAATATTTTAATTTTATTTCAGTGACAATTAGTAGAGTTTATATAATTAATCAAAAAATACAGTAAACTATATAACTAGACAGCTCAATTTGACCAGCAATTAAAGCAAATTTACACTGCTTGCTACTAGTATCTGATGACTATAAAAGAATAAAATATCCATATTTCTTTACATATTATATTT